TGTATGAAAGCACCACACTGGTTTTAAAATTTTTTTATTTTTTGGAGAAGTTTTAGATTCACAGCAAAAAATTGAGTGGAGGGTACAGAGGTTGCCCATCCACCCTCCCCATCTCCATGGACATAATCTCCCCAGCATCAAACCTGCATCAAATTATTAGCGCCTTTGTTCCAGTCAATGACAATACATTGGCACACCATCATCACCCCAAATCCAGTTTGCATTAAGGTTCACTATATGTTCCATGGCCTTGAAGAAAGTCTAAGGACGTGTGTGCACCATTCTAGAATCATCCACCGTAGTTCTACTGCCCCACCCCCCACCCTCAGTGCTCTACCTAGTCACTTCTCCTTTCCTTGCAACCCCTGGCAACCACTGCTCGTTTTCCTTCATAGTCTCACCTTTCCTAGAATGTCACATAGCTGGAGTCACACGGCAGGTCGCCTTTCAGAACGGCTTCTTCCCTTTAGTAACAGGCTTGGAAGTTTCCTCTGGGTCTTCTGTGGCGCGGCAGCTCATCTCTCTCAGCACTGGAAAGCTTCGCCCGGTCTGGATGCACCACGGTGTATTTATCCACTCACCTGTGGAGGACGTCCTGACTGCTCCCCAGTTTTGATTGACAGTTAGGAACAGAGCCGCCGTCAACACCGGGGTGCGGGTGCTTGTGTGGACACAACTTCCCACCTCACTTGTGCAGCTCCCAAGGAGCGTGGCCACTGGATCGTGGGGTAAAAATATATTCACTTTTCCAGGAGATTGCCAAACAGTCTTCCAAAGTGGCCAGAACGTTTTCTGTTCCCCTCCCCTCCTAAGCAATGAACGAGACATCCTGTTGCTCTCCAACCTTGCCAGCATTTGGGGGTGGGGTGGTTCTTGTTTTGGATTTTGGTCATTCTGATTGTTACCTCTATGACCTACCGGGTCCTTGTATCTCCTTGTTGTTTTACACACTGATTCCTGCAGCTGTGTTGTAAGTTCTATCTTTATATTGTCTTTGACAGGCAGAGTGGACAGAGAGAGCGAGAGACAGAGAGAAAAGATCTTCCTTTGCCGTTGGTTCACCCTCCAATGCCTAAAAATGGCCACCAAGGCCGGTGTGCTGCAGCGGGCGCACTGCGCTGATCTGAAGGCAGGAGCCAGGTGCTTCTCCTGGTCTCCCATGGGGTGCAGGACCCAAGCACTTGCGCCATCCTCCACTGCACTCCCTGGCCACAGCAGAGAGCTGGCCTGGAAGAGGGGCAACCAGGACAGAATCCGGCACCCCGACTGGGACTAGAACCCGGTGTGCCAGCGCCGCAGGCGGAGGATTAGCCTAGTGAGCCGTGGCGCCAGCCTGTTGTAAGTTTTGATATCAGGAAATGTTTTTCTTTGGCAAGTTTTTGTTGTTGCTGTTGTTGTTTCGACTACTTGGGATCCTTTGAAATTTACGATGGATTTTTCTATTTCTGGAAAAAGAGAATCATTTGGATTTTGTTAGAGACTGTCGTGAATCTGTGGACCACTGTGGGTAGTATTGACTTCTCAAATAATAGTAAGTCTTCCCATCTATGAACAATGTGTCTTTCCATTTATTTGTGTCTTCTTTACTTTCTCCAAGGAACATTTTACAGTGTTAGCATACAAATCTTTCATCTTCATGGTGAAATTAATTCCTAAGTATTTTTATATTACTATAAATGGAATCATTTTCTTAATTTCCTTTTTGATTGTCCGTTGTCAATGTATAGCAACGCAACTGATTTTTACGTGTGGATGTTGTATCCTGCAACTTTGCCAAATTAATTTATGACTATGAATCAATTTTTTTGGAGGAGTCTTTGAGATTTGAACCTATAGAATCATGTCATCTACAAAAAGCCAGTTGTATTTCTTTTCTAACATGGATGCCTTTTCTTACTTCCTCTTGCCCATTGCCCTGGCTTGAACTTCTAATACCACATTCAATAGAAGTGATCAAAGAGGGCAGCCTTGTCTTGTTCCTGATCTTAGAGGAAAAACTATCAGTCTTTACCACTGAGTGCGGCGTTATCTGCTTACAGAGGTATCATGAAATCCTATGAGCTACCGAAATTGTGTTCTGTGTTCCCAGCACCAAGCACGGGGCCTGCACGTAGTAAGTACTGAGTAGGTAGATAAACTTTCAGAAACGGCATTTTTTTTGAAAACAGAGTGAGCTAAGGTACTGCTGAATGGAGAGTTGAGTTGGTATTTGTGAGGGTGAGGTGCAAGGATTAAAGGGTGACATTGAAGGTAGTAGTGATTGGGCTGCCTGCTGACAAGGAGCAGGTGTTGGGGCCTCATGACAGGCACCAAAGCCGCTGCTATCGCTGTACACTTTGCTTGGTCAGCCTGCCTTTTTTTTTTTTTTTTTTGGACAGGCAGAGTTAGACAGTGAGAGAGAGAGAGAAAAGTCTTCCTTTTTCCATTGGTTCACCCCTTAAATGGCCGTTACGGCTGGCGCACTGCACTGATCCAAAGCCAGGAGCCAGGTGCTTCCTCCTGGTCTCCCATGTGGGTGCAGGGGCCCACGCACTTGGGCCGTCCTCCACTGCCTTCCTGGGCCACAGCAGAGAGCTGGCCTGGAAGAGGAGCAACCGGGACAGAATCCAGCGCCCCAACAGAACCCAGAGTGCCGGCGCCGCAGGCGAGAGGATTAGCCTAGTGAGCTGTGGCGCCGGCCGGTCAGCCTGCTTTTGAAAACATTTTTATTACTTGATGGGTGGAGAAAGAAGGAGAAAAAAGAAGAAAGACGAAGAAAAGGAGGAGGAGGAAGAAAGAGAAGGTGAAGGGGAGAGAGAGAGAGCGAGCGAGAGAGCGCACTTCCATCTGCTGATTCACTTCCCAGTGCCAGCAATGGCTGGGGCTGGACCAGGCTGAAGCCAATAGCTGGGAACTCAGCCCAAGTCTCCCACTTGTGTCTCAGGGACCCAACCACTTGAGGCATCACTGCTGCCTCTCAGGGTACCCATCGGTAGGAAGTGGCAGTGAGGAGTGGAGCTGGCATTGCAACCCAGGTACTCCATATGAGATGTGTGTGCCCCAGCAAGGCGTCCTGACTGCTAGGGCAAACGCTGCCCCTGGTGTCTTGCTTTTTTAAAGATCCTGCCTGGTTTTATCTTTCTTTGTTTTAGCATTAGCAGCTGGAAGAAAATAATGTGTGTTATATCTCTTTGTATTTATGACTACTGAATAAATAACTTACAGGCCTTTGGATGCAAAGAAAATGAGTGAAATGGCATAAATTAGAGATGAAAGTTGTTAATGCTAATAGAGTGTGTAACATATGCCTTCCTTTGGCACAGCTTTGAAATAATGTGACGGATTTAAAGGGCTTGCGTCTGTTTGCCTTAGTTTTAATTTGGAATGGTTGGAAAGCATAGAGTCGCCCCCATTTCATTAGTGATGCTGTGTCTCCCATTCCAGCTTCGCTCCCTCAACTTGGAGCAGATAAAAATTCTGATTAACCATAGTCTTAGAATGGGAAAAATCAAATGCTTTTTTTTTAATGTGTTGGCATTTCTCTTCTTCTGAACTTTTAACAAGCACATTCTAAATATGAACTAACATGTCCTTGCTTTTTCTCTTTTAACAAGGTCATCCGAGTTACAGATTTAAAAACTATGTTCTGTAAATGCAGAACTTGTTAATATATTTCAGAGGCAGCAGGAGGTCATGGAAAGAATGGGCCCTTTTGTCTCAGTGAGGGATTTTCTGCCTGCAAGTCATTGAACCCTATAGCTTGTGCTGAAGAGAATTTTAGAAAACTGTAAAGGTATTTCCGGGATGTGAGGCTGTCCACCAGGACCCGAGGGCTGGAGGGGCAGCCGTGCTCGGGAGGGTCTGGGCCTGGGACCTGGAAGCCCCAGGAACCGCGGTCAGCCCCTCCACGTTTCCGGTCCTCCGTGGGCTCATCCTCTTTTTCCACCGCACCTGCTGCTGTGTCTCTGGGCAGAAGGGCTGCCTTTGCCTGTGCACGTGCACAGCTGCCCAGCTCGGCTCCAGCTGCACTCACTTGCAGGCCGGGCATCGGCAGAGGCTGCCTGGCGGCCCTGATCCCCACCTTCCTGGAAGCGACTCTGGTGATCTCATCTTGAGTTGGATGTCGGCTCCTGGCTCGTTCATCTGTAATTCACTGTCTTCCCGGCGTTCATTCCAGGAACTGTTTCAGACACCAGGGATTCGTCAGTCCCTTGTGGAGCATGGTAGGGTGGGAGGGAGGGGAGAGAGAGAGTAGAGACTGAAAGCTTACTCCTTTGGGGCTGGCTTAAGGGTTGCAGTGTTCAGAGAATGGGAAGTAGAGGCTGGGAATTTGGATAGATGTGGATTTAAACCCTGATTCTTCCTCTTGCCAGCCTGTGGACCCTGGGCTTAGTAAATGACTTCTCTCAGTACCAAGTTTTGAGCCAGTGCAATGGGAATAATCCTCTAATGCGGTCATCATGAGGACTAGAGGGAGAGCTTGCTACACAGCCAGTGGTGTCGTGTCACTCACTCAGCGCAAGGTGTCAGATGGGTCTGACTCTGGGCCTCCATCGGGACAGTGGGAAAGGCCATCAGAACACAGGCCGGGGTGCACTAGGTTAAGTCTCTGCCTGTGGCGCTGGCATCCTATACAGATGGGATGTCCCAGCAGCTCCACCTCCGATCCAGCTCTCTGCTAAGGCCTGGGAAAGCAGTAGAGAATGGTCCAGGGGCTTGGGCAGCTGTGCCTGCATGAGAGACCTGGAAGAAGCTCCTGGCCTCAGATCAGCGCAGCTCTGGCCATTGGGGCCATTTGGGGACTGAGCCAGGGGATGGAAGACCTCCATCGCTGTCTCTCCCTCTCAATGTCTGTAACCCTACCTGTCAAATATATAAATAAATAAAAAGAACACAGGCCGCCGCGCTCAGTCTGGGGATGAAGTCACGAGGCGTCGGCCAGGGCGCGAGGGGCGCGCTCGGTATGGCTGCGGCTCCTCCTCCTCTTTTTATTCATCTCGTTTTCCCCGGCTTTCTTCTAGTTCCCATTTGGCCGCCGCTTACCTTGTGACATCTACTGGCACGGAGTTTCATTCCACGACAGTAACATATTCTCCGGTCAAGTGAACAAGTTCCCAGGTACCTGCCGTCGCCGGGTGGCGTTCAGAGGTGTTTCCGGGGGGAGTCGGAGGGAACGTGGCACACAGCACTGACCACACCTGGGGAGCCACACCTGGGACTCTTGGCTGGGAATCGCGCCTCTGCTCTGCGCGCCCTGCGGTGTTGCTCTGACCCTGGTGCGGAAGGTAACTGCAGAGAGAGGATTCTCTCTGCACCAGAGCCCCCAAGGGTTAAAAGAGTGGGGATGAGCTGCTGAAGTTGTAAACGCAGGCTTTCCGGGTCTCTTTCCACCAGCGGAAGAACATGGTTTCCACTTTTTGGTGTTCTATCTATTGCCTGGCGGACAGGGGGAGGGGAGAGGGGGCGGGTCTAATTAGCAGACTGTATTTTTTTCAATGAAAAAAAAAATAGTATTTCACTTTCTGGAATGTCCCACAGAAAGGGGGCATGACATCCTTTTTCTTTGAGAGACATATTTGGAGATGCTATTTTTATTTTTATTTTTATTTTTTAAAAGATTTATTTCATTTATTTGAAAGCAGACTTATAGTGGGGGGGGGGGGCAACATAGAGAGATCTTCCCTCTGCTGGTTTACTCTCCAGATTGCTACAACATCCAGGGCTGGGCCAGGCCAAACCCAGGAGCTTCATCCAGGTCTCTCACGTGGGTGCAGAGGCCCAAGGACCTGAGCCATCTTCCACTGCTTTCCCAGGCACATTAGCAGGGAGCTGGATCAGAAGTGGAGCAGCTGGGACTTGAACTGGCACCCACATGGGATGTGGGCATTGCAGGCAGTGGCTTAACCTGCAACACCACAGCACCAGGCCCAGAGATGCCATTTTTAAAAACCCGGTGCAGGAGTCTCCAAACTAATTCCCACAGGCTGAAGGCAGCCTCTGCAGTGGTCTCAGATTTACCCTGCAAGGAGGATACCAGTGGGTTAAGGTGTCCCTAATCCCTACCACCTTCTGCCATGGTTACTATTTTCCATTATTTTTGATGGCTATGTGGTGAGGGTGGTGAGGGTAGTGGCCCTGCTTAGGGAGAAAGGAACAATTGGTTAAGTCAGGTCTTTTATTATTTGCCACAAACCATATAATCCTAAATAATTTTTAAAAGGAACACCAGCCTGAATCCCATCCCATCACTTAGCCAAACAATGGGACTGTCTCTATTCTTCCTCCCAAACCTGAGCCATGCTTACTTCTCATTTCACATGGTTGCAGTCAGTGTGTAGTTGCCCAAACAGAAGATGTTCCCTTTTATCATTTGTATATATTTTAAGGGGAGAATCAATTTGCCTTTTTTTTTTTTTTAACTGGCATTCTGCCCTGTGTCCTTAAGAGAACACATCTCAGAAAACCCAACCTCCGTGTATTACTGGCTAGCTTTGCCCCTTCCACCAGGGGGATTCGAACCAAGCATGCAGACCCACAGGGTCACTTCCGTAGGCCACACTTGACTTAGATTCCCTTGGAAGGTTAGAGTGCAGGCAGCCCAGCCTCTCGGTGTTAAATGTCCCCCCCCCCCCCACACACACACCCCTGGAGTATTTTCAAGTGTTCCAGGCCCTGCTCTCTCCTCCCTTCCAGGGTAGGTTCAGTTCTAAGGAGGTACGATCCACACTGGGGGCTGCAAGTCTCAGCATAGCAGGCCTGGAAGAGCCAGTATCTCTTGTACCCACTCCACGGCAGAGCTTCCGAGAGCCCTGTGGCACGTTCAGTTACAGGAACCACCAGGCTCAGGGCAGCCTCGAGCCATGGCTTCCCACCAGGCATTTGTGCAATGTACCGATCAGCGAATCCTTTTAACCATATGCTTTGTTGTCTAGTAACACAGCAGACGTTCAACCTTTATTGGTTTCCAGGGGAACATAGGTGGAAAATTAACCAAAGGTCAAACTTCTCCTTAGAGGGGGAGACAGCATTTTGCTGGAGAATACGAATGACTCTCCCAGCCTGTGCTCCTGCACACTGTGTAATGGCATAGCTATCTTCTCCCTCTTGCTGCTCGGAGATGCCACTTCCAAGACTTAGTGGGGGATTTTAGAGCGCTATTTGGAGGAGCCTGACTCTCTGAATGAGGACAGAGTTCCTAAGACCTCATCTGCATTTCCCCCTTTTGCCCAGGCCTCCTGGCAGCTCAGAATAGGAAAGCAGCAGCCGCCGTGGGTCTCCATTCGGAACCCAGATGAGCCGTGGGGGAAGCAGTTCCCCCACAGGGGCTAGTTTCATTAAAAGTGGTAAACAGATACTCACGGCCATGAAGCCCCATACTCACAGCCCCAATCCATATTCTGCATGGCAGCGACTGGAACATATAATTTTCTACTTTACTAACAGCAATTAATTAGCTGTAATGACAAAGCTCGAGGCAGAAGAGCAGTGCTGGTAGCCACGGCCCTTGCCTGTGAAAGGTGGCAACCTCCGCCTCGAGCTGACTCCAGAAGGTCCCGTGCCCTGGCTCCAGCTTGTGCCACGCTCATCTTCCGTCTCACACATCCCATTAGTCTACACATGCATTGTGGAGTCAGTTCCAGAGGTATGCCAGCCAAGTGTGAGCACTCCATGTGCTGAATACACTGAGAACTTCTGGCTATGCATATGGATTTAGTCTGTTTTGTGTGTGTCAATGCATTCGATTTTAGTTTTTTTTTTATAGGCAATTTCCTGGTTCAAGATACATTATTATATCTTCTCTGATGAATTAGGACTTTCTATATGAATAGTCTGATTCACATATATCTTTGCTCATCTTAAGTCCAGAATTATCCGTCCTCAACTCACAAGAAACAGTTTTTCACTGAGGTTTGTGTCTGAGAGGTATGGTGGCATGTAGCAGGTGCTTCTGCGAGTCCCCTGAGAGCAAGGGGGCTTTAGTGAGGAGACAGGGGGTGTGGCCATATGTGAAGCCCCGGACTGGGCTCTAGGGAGACCAAGGAAGGAGAAAGATGTGGGCTGGAGGAAGCTTGGACTCCTGTGGGAGTTTGCAGAGGGTGTGCAGCCTGGGGACCAGGCAGGCAGCGCGACGCTGGAGAAGAAGATGGGCAAGTCAGCGGCACCTCTGGGGACGGAGGGGCCTGAGCCTCCTGCCAGATGGGGAGCAGAGCTTGTCCAAAGACAGAACGCTTTGGGCCGTCGCTCGTGCCGCGAAGGGCAGGCAGCCAGCGATGGTTGGAGTGGGTCAAGTGTAGGGGGCAGCAGTGAGGTGATAGGCAAAGACCCAAGTGCACCTTTGTTCCAGTCTGAAGGTCATGGGAGCTAACGAGATGTCTGTAAGCCAGACAGAGCCATGGGCCAGCTTGCGTTTCAGCCACGCCAGCCAGAGGGTCACATTGGAGGTGCTGAAAAGGCTGGGAAAAGAAACAAAAAACACAGCTGCGGCCACGAGAGGAGCCAAGCCAAAGATACGGTCATCAGTGGCCATAGCAATCGAGAGTCGAGGAGGGATCTGAAGGCACTCATTTGTTGTTCAGTGATTTTACTGTGTACTTGCCAAGAAATGTCATTATACACGCCATTGGGATTGAGTGGCGCTCCAAACATAGCTGCTTCCTTTTTAACTGGGTTTCACCCGCAGGGCTGAGGATGGCACTGTTACATTCTTGGTTAACTCCAACAGGATGAATCCCAGCAGGCCCTTACAGTCCAGTGTAGCAGACTGAAGACGCCAGGCTGCAGGAGAGGCAGCAGGCAAACCCTGGGTTTCAGAAGCTCCGACCAGGAGTTAGGGAGCTTGCTAATCCATAGGCGACTTCTAGGCCTACGACCTTGTTGACGAACTCAGGTAGGCACTCAGCCTCGAGAGAGCCGGGTGCCAGGCAGGGCAGCAGGGCCTCCGACAGCCGGCTGAAGTGACAGACAGCTAGAACTTCAGCCTTTGCAAGGCTTGGCTCAGGGGACACATCAGAGAGGCTGGAGAGAGGAACTTTGAGGAGAACAGCTCTGAGCACCAGGAGCCAAGACAGGTGCTCTTGGGGATAGGCAATGGAGCTCCGGGAACATCCTTCTTATCTAATTGGAATGCAAAGTTGAGGTCAAACTCTGAGCAGAGAGGGAGCTGATAGTTAGACCTGGAGCTTCATCCACAGCTCAATGTGGGTCCCAGGCAGGGGTCCCCAGTGGCGGGGGGCAGATGCTGCAGGTGCTGAGGGGAGGGAGGCAGAAGCTGAAGCCAGCAAGCCTTTCCAAACTTGACCCTGGGAGCAGGTGCTGGTGCCTGTTAGAGAACCAGCTGCCCTTCTCATGCTGCACCGCGGGGCCTGGCGGGGGGCCGGAGACTCCTTCCCTGGCAGCACTGGCTGGGACCACAACTGAGATGTGAAGGAGGAACCAAGCGGATGCTGGAGCTGGAGCTGCAGGCAGGGTTGGGGGTGGAGTGTTTGCAGCCTGTGCGTAGGAAGTGTCTGGGTCAGAGCAGCCACTGGCTTCTAGCAATGCTGCTTGCCTTGGCTGTCCTGAGGGAACCCTCTAGAGACCCGAAAGGGAAGCCTGCAGGCAGGCAGATCTGACAGCTGGCTCGCGGAGTGAGGACGCCCACGACGGAAGGAGCCTGGAAGATGTAGAGTGCATGTTTATTCCCCTTGGCTGGGCACTGGTGTCCACGAGAGCTTTCTGGAGCCTGCACAGTGCCCTCTTGTACTCTCGGCTCTTTTGTCTGTGCTGGGTGAGTCCCTCTGAGCTGTCACAGTGTTCTGCCACCACGTCCTTACTAAGAGGCAGAACACGCCTCCTGGGGTGCCGTGTCGGAGTTCCTCCTGTAGGTTTTTCATTTAATCCCATCACTAAAATGTGAGTCAGATACAAGGGAAAAGCATCAGAAGCCATTGCAATCCGTGTTTGGTTGACTCCGTGTTCACCTCCAGCATTCGTAAGTCAACATTTCAAATTTTGCAGGGCAATCAAAGGAAGCGGCTGGATTTTTTCCAGACTCATTCCTTGGGAAGATCAGCACAGCGGTCCTCAGTGAGCTTTCTTCAATATCTGAAAGTTCACGTTAGAGCAGTTTACTAGCACTTTTTAAGCTCTTTTATTTCATGCTTCATCTTCCTCTAGGTCCTTCTAAGTAAGAACTAAAGAGCCTGAGCCTTGGCTGTGATCTTCAGATTTATTGCTTTTTTCTTTTTTCTTCCCCTATGCTGGGGGAAGCCAGGCGCTGGTTCTGGAAGCCTCCCTTCCTAGATGTTCGTTCTTTGCTTCCTGCACTTGGGAGTTTAGCAAACTCCGCTCGTTCTGTCGGGACCCATTTGGAACACTCCACACCGACATGGAACATCATGCTTCCCATTAAGAATAACTTTGCTAAGCAGATTTCTAAGGGCCAGTAATGGAACAGTTCATTTTCCTGGAGGGTGAAGGCTATTTTCAGCCTCCACTTTTAGCAATGATATTTGCCTTAGGAAAGAAGCCTGCTAAAATGTACGGCAATTTTTACCCATTTGCTTAAAATTTGTGATGGCAGAGACCGAGTTTCTTCCCCTGTCAGAGTTGCTAATGATGTTACCATTGGGGAAAGAAATCCGCCAGGCTTTTAAAATGCTTTCTAAGTGAGACATCTCAGCTGCCTCCGGGCAAATTAGTAAGATCTGATCAGTGTCAATGTCAGGCCTCACAACGGAGGCGCTCCCAAGGATTGCATTTTTCCTTTTCAACTAGAAATTATGCTGCGGGGGTCCTTTCCACTTCCTGTCCTTGATTCAAGGGGACAGATTTTATGCTGAAAGGTGTATATTTTCCTCTGTTATCTCTTTGATACTCATGAAAGATTAAAATAAAGCAACTTGGGGCCAGCGCCGTGGCTCACTTGGTTAATCCTCTGCCTGTGGCACTGGCATCCCATATGGGAGCCGGGTTCTAGTCCCGGTTGCCCCTCTTCCAGGCCAGCTCTCTGCTGTGGCCCAGGAGGGCAGTGGAGGATGGCCCAAGTGCTTGGGCCCCTGCACCCGCATGGGAGACCAGGAGGAAGCACCTGGCTCCTGGCTTCGGATCGGCGCAGCTCTGGCCATAGTGGTCATTTGGGGAGTGAACCAATGGAAGGAAGACCTTTTCCTCTGTCTCTCTCTCTCACTGTCTAACTCTATCTGTCAAAAAAAAAAAAAAAGTGCAACTTAATGCAGCTCCTCATCAGATAATAAAGGCTACTTCATAAAGTTAATGGAAAAATGGAAAAAAATAACCTGATGTTTATGTTGGTGCAAGACTTCTGAGAATTCATGCGTATTTTTTTTTTTTTTTTGACAGGCAGAGTGGACAGTGAGAGAGAGAGACAGAGAGAAAGGTCTTCCTTTTCCGTTGGTTCACCCCGCAGTGGCCGCTGTGGCCAGTGCACTGCACTGATCCAAAGCCAGGAGCCAGGTGCCTCCTCCTGGTCTCCCATGCGGGTGCAGGGCCCAAGGACCTGGGCCATCCTCCACTGCCTTCCTGGGCCACAGCAGAGAGCTGGCCTGGAAGAGGGGCAACCGGGACAGAATCCGGTGCTCCGACTGGGACTAGAACCTGGAGTGCTGGCGCCGCAGGCGGAGGATTAGCCTAGTGAGCCATGGCGCTGGCCGCGTATTTTTTTTTTTCATAATGCACATCTTCTGTGAACTTTTTGAAGCTCCTTCATGTTCTCTAGGGTACAGGATGGAAAAACCCCAGAAGTGTGTGTGGTAGCCCCAAATTAAAGAAGGCATTAAATTTGAGCTGTACGATATAAATGCTTCTCTGTGTGTCTCCGAAGGGAGTGACAACAGAACAGTAAACTAGGTGAAAACCCATTCTTTGTACAAGAGAAAAAAAAAAAATCCGTCTGCTCTCTCAAGTTCTCCACTAATTGGGTTGATCTCAAACCATAAGTCACCGCTGTGGGCAACTCACATCTTCTTTAAACTCCTGGCTGAGAAAGTGGCCCTGTCGGGCAGGTGCTTTGCAAAGTCCCCAGCAAGGGCTGGGGGCCGGCTGCTGTGAAAACCACAGGGCGTCTCCTCTCGGCAGGCATGACGGAGATGGTGCGGAAAATCACGCTGAGCAGAGCCGTGAGGATCATGCAGAGCCTCTTCCCGCAGGAGTACAACTTCTACCCCCGCTCCTGGATCCTGCCCGACGAGTTCCAGCTCTTCGTCGCTCAGGTAGACGGCGCTCTGTCCCCTGATGGTTGCGGTGGGGTCCTGGGTCCTGTGTGCTGGGATGGGAGCTGGCCTGGGCCGTGGCGGGGGGTGGGGGGGGGTCTCCAGGAAACTGACACTGACTGAGGGCACACAAAGGGGTGTTGGCTCGCAGAACTGAACAGGTACAGTGGCAGGTAGCTGAAATGAAGTGGATCTCCACCCGAGGAGACATCCTGAGGCTGGTCTCTGGGCTGGATGGTGGGGTCAGGGCTCTGGAGAGAGATGGGGGCAGAGCAGGTGGCTGAGCCCACAGCGGGATGGGGCCTGCGTGGTGTAACACGTGGGAGGTCAGGCTGTGGTCTGTGGCCAAAGCCTTGCTTCAAGTTTGTTCCGGAACAATTCTCAAATGACTCATTCCATCTTGAAGTGGTTTGAGCGTGCAACATATTGGAACGTTCACCACTGATCGTGAAATAGAGCCAACAGGGAAGCAGAACTCAGAACCGCCGTTTTGATTAGTCTTATGATAGTTTAATTTAGGACCCGTTCAATGCCTTTGGCCAAAGGTTCCTCACGCTATACCATACCTCTGAGGGTGACTGTATAATAAACCACTGTCTAATACTGATAAGGCCAATACCATTGATTGGTCTTCCTATGTTTCAGGGGTTGTGCTAGAAGCTAAACATTCTTTTTCTTTTCTTTTTTTTAATTACTTATTTCCACCTACTTGAAAAACAGAGAATGGCAGATCTGGTTTACTCACCAAATGTCTGCAACAGCCAGGGCTGGGGAAGGCTAAAGCCAGGAGCCGGGAACTCCATCCTGGTCGTCTGTGTGTAGCAGGGACCCGAGTACCTGAGCCATCACTGTTGCCTCCTGGTGCATTAGCAGGAAACTGGATCAGAAGCAGAGTAGCTGGAATTTGAACCAGGGGCTCCAATACGGAAGGCAGGTGTTCCAGGTGGTGGCCTAACTGCTGCGCCAAATGGCCCACCATGAAAAATGATTTCTTTTCACTCTCACCACACTTTTAACAAAGTTGATTGTACTGGTATCCCCATTTGGTGGAGATAGAAATTGAGGCTTTGAGAAATTGACTTGTTCAAGAAGTCTAGGATTTGCACCTGGAGCCGACTGTAGTCTGTTCTCTTGCCTCTGTATTGTTTGGCTTTAATGTGGAATTCTAAAACTTGTAATAAAATTGTGATTTACTAAGCAAGAAAGCAGCTTGAAGTGATCATGTTCACAAGAACATGTCTGCGAGACGATGGTTGCACGGATCTGCACCCGTTTCTTACAATCCATCAAACTATTCAAAGGAGTGCCTTCTACTGTATGCACATGGTGCTTTAATAATGTCGATTTGCAAAAGCAGTTACTAGTTGTCCCCTAGACCCAGTCTCCCTAACCTCCAACCTCTGTGGCTTTGCTCGTCAGTTGTGGCTGGGCTGGGGCCTTCCCTTCCCATCCCTACTGCTCTCTCCCTACTGTTCTGCAAGGTGGACTGAGCGGGTGCCAGCCGGCTCTGAAATCTGGTAAGCCAGAAGACCCTCCCATTACCCCGGAAGTGCCGAGGAGTTAATCCCCTATCCCAGGCAACTACACACCATCATAGGTGAGTTTTGGCCATCTAAGAAATTCACGCAAACGGATCACATAGTGTGTTCACTTTTGGAGTCTGTTTTTTTTTTTCTTTTTCTCTGGGAATTATGCTTTTGAGAGTCATCTGGGTTTGTTGTGTGTACCTGCAATTTGTATTATTCTCACCATATGGTGTTTCTTTGCATGAATCTACCACAATTTTTTAAAAAAGATTTATTTACTTATTTGAAAGTCAGAGTTACACACAGAGAGAAGGAGAGGCAGAGAGAGAGAGAGAGCGAGATCTTCCATCTGCTGGTTCACTCCCCCAAATGGCCGCAATGGCCAGAGCTACGCAGATCCAAAGTCAGGAGCCAGGAGCCAGGAGCTTCTTTCAGGTCTCCCACATGGGTGCAGGGACCAAAGCACTTGGGCCATGTTCCACTGCTTTCCCAGAAGCATTAGCAGGGAGCTGGATCAGAAGTGGAGCAGCAGGGACGAGAACCAGCGTCCATGTTGGGATGCTGGTGCTGCAGGCAGAGGATTAACCAAGTGAGCCACAGCGTCGGCCTCTCCTGGAGTTCTTTTCTGTAGATTTGTTAGGATTTTCTATGTACATAGTCAATTCATCTGAGAATAAATATATTCTATATAAAAATATTTGGTTTCTATGAAATACATACATTTTACATATATTATATATACTTATATTTCATTTATATAACATATTTTTAAAATTTCTTGTTATAAAAGACTTATTTATTTATTTGAAGGGCAGAGCAACAAAGAGGAAGAAAGCAAGTGAGCAAGAGAGAGAGACAGATATCTTCCATCTGCTGGTTCACTCCTCAAATGACCACAACAGTCAGGTCTGGGCCAGGCAGAAGGCAGGAGCCAAGAATTCCATCTTATTCTCCTGCATGGGTAACAGGTGCCCAAGCACTTGGGCCCTCTTCTGCTGCCTTCCCAGGTGCATTAGCAGGGAGCTGGGTTGGAAGTGGAGCAGCTGGGAGCCAGTCAGGCTCCCATGTGGGATTCTGGCACTGCAAGCTACAGCTTAACCCACTGCAGCACAAGGCCAGCCCTCCTATTTGTTTCCTTCTAATCTATGTGCTTTTTGGTTTTGTTTCTTTCTTAAATGTTTGGTGCAATTCATTATTTAATGTATTTGGGCTTAGGCTTTCTTTTTGGGAACATTTTTAGGTGGCTAATTAATTTTTTAGTAGAGATGGTAATTTGTGTCATTCAAGAAATTAGTCCATTTTATTTAAGTTGTCAAATATATTGACATAAACCTTTTGAAAATAACATCCCCTTATTATTATTGTCTATGGGATATTTAGTAATGTGCCCTTTTTCCTTGCTGATTTTGGTAATTTATGTTTTCACTCTTGTTTTTGATATCTAGTAAAACTCTTATCAATTTTATTCATCATTTCACAGAGCCAACTTATTATCTCATTGTCCATTTTGCACTGATTTTTAAATTTTATTGGAATTTCCTCCCTTGTACTTCTTTTAGGCTTAATTTGCTTTTCTTTTTCTATTTTTAAAGGAAAACATAAAATTATCGATTTTTAGAATTTAAAGCAATAAATTTCCCTCTAAGCACTGCTTTGGATGCATCTCAGAAATCTTGAATGTTATGTTTTCATTATCAATCAATTCAAAATGTTTTCCAATTTCCATTGGTATATCTCCTTTACCATGGGTTATTCAGAAAGGTGGTATTTACTTTTAAGATAATTTGAGGAGTTTTCCAAATACATTTTGTTACTGACTTTTAATTTTTTGTCACTGGAAAGTATATTCTATATTAGCTTAATGCCTTTATATTTATAGAGTTTTATAATAGCCCATATACTGTCAAAATTCGTGAATTTTCCATATACACTTGAAAATAATGTGTGTCCTGGAGTAGCTGCTGTAGCATCCTATGAATGTCAGTTAGGCCAGGTAATACTTGGTGCTGTTCATGTCTTTTTTTTTTTCTTTTTTAAAGATTTATTTATTTATTTGAAAGAGTTACACAGAGAGAGAAGGAGAAGGGGGAAAGAGAGAGAGAGAGGGTGGGGGGGAGGTCTTCCATTTGCTGGTTCACTCCTGAGATGGCTGGAGCTAAGCCGATCCGAAGCCAGGAGCCAGGAGCTTCTTCTGGGTCTTCCCATGCCGGCACAGGGGCCCAAGGACTTGGGCCATCTTCTACTGCTTTCCCAGGCCACAGCAGAGAACTGGATCAGAAGTGGAGCAGCTGGGTCTTGAACTGGCGCCCATATGGGATGCCAGTGCTTCCGGCCAGAGCATTAACCCACTGCGCCACAGCACCAGCCCCACCCTGTCTGATATTAACATAGCACCTCCAGCTCTCCTGGGCTTAGTGTTTGTGTGGTGTGTCTTTTACCATTCTTTTAGTGTGTCTTCACTAAAGTGTGATTCTTGTTAACAGCATGTGCTTAGTTTACTATGGTCTTTTAACCAGTTTTGCAAATCTTTGCCTTTTAATTAGTGTTTTAGCCCATTTACACTTAGTATTTAATATTAAGTGTTGTATTCAGAGTCACTATTTAGCTATTTCTTTTCTATTTAGGCTATCCATTTAGATAAGTTGAATATTTTTAATGTTTTATTCTATTTCCTCTTTAGGTATGTTAGCTAATATCTCTTTTTTTTTAAATTATTTATTTGAAAGGTAGAGTTACAGAGAGAGAGGGAAAGAGAGAGAGAGGAGAGGTCTTCCATCTGCTGGTCTACTCCCCAAATGGCTGCAATGGCTGGAGCTGGGCCAATCTGAAGCCAGGAGCCAGGAGTTTCTCCTAGGTCTCTCACATGGGAGCCCAAGGACTTAGGCCATCTTCCACTGCTTTTCCAGGCTATAGCAGAGAGCTGGATCAGAAGTGGAGCAGCTAGGACTCGAACCAGTGCCCATATGGAATGCTGGTACTGCTGGCAGTGTCTTTACCAGCTATGCCACAGCGCTGGTCCCTCTAGAAATATTTCATCAGAAGACACCCTTTCTCCTGCAAATTGCCTTTTCACCTGTGTCAAAAATAGTTGCACAAATATGTGGGAGTGTCTTTCTGAATTTGGTATTAGATTACATCGATTTATTTGCTTGTCTTTATTCCAAAATCTCACTACCTTGATTATTATAGCTTTATAATAAGTCTTGAAATCAGATAATGTAAGTTTCCAATTTACTCTTTTTTTTTGACAGGCAGACTGGACAGTGAGAGAGAGAGAGACAGAGAGAAAGGTCTTCCTTTTCTGTTGGTTCACCCTCCAATGGCTGCTCCAGTGGCGTGCTGCAGCCGGCGCACTGCGCCGATCTGAAGCCAGCAGCCAGGTGCTTCTCCTGGTCTCCCATGGGGTGCAGGGCCCAAGCACTTGGGCCATCCTCCACTGCACTCCCGGGCCACAGCAGAGAGCTGGCCTGGAAG